ATAGCCGTCTTTTTATTCTAACTAAGATTTTATTACAGACGCCACCGCATATCGTGCTTGGTTGTGTGCTGTGAATTTTTGCAGTTCAAGTGCTGGTTACAAGCGTCATGGCTCCTCTTTCCTCCTTCTCCCCTGCTGCACAAGATGGATTCTACGCAAAGATGGAAAACACCCCTCTCCTTCTCTGTCTCCCTCTCTCACACACACATGGTCCTCATTAACTGGGTCACTGGCAGCTTTTTTCCCCTTCTCTATTCATTAGGGTATACCTCCACAGAGTCCCTCTCTGTCTCTCACATACATGTTCAAAGGGGATTCCCACCCCTTTATATAGCTGCGAAGTCACGATGTGTGTTATGCAGGGAGAATGGGCGTAGTCACGAGTGTGTGTGTGTGTGTGTGTGTGTGTCTGTATGTTTGTGAGATGTCATTTTAGATAATCAGCTTCAGCAACCACTGTGTGTGTTTGTGTGGATGAGCGTTGTGCAGAGGCAGAGATGATAGAGAAAATAACTGTTAGTACCTGTCGAAGAAGCGCCTAACAAAGACCCAGTCAGAGTTTCGTCCGATTTTCAGTCTCTCTCTGTCCTTCTGTGACTCTCTCGATCTCGATCTTTGTCTAGTGAATCAGTCTCTTGTCTGTCTCTCAGCTGCTTTACATGTCCGTTGTCAATTCGTGCGTTTCCACCCTCTCCTTCAGGCCCGCTGTTACTTTTGTCGTTTTGTCTTGTTTTAGTTGTTCCTTGTACGAATACAGGATGCACGGAGCCAAACGGCGAGAGGCAAATGCAGCTTCTGCTTAATTGTAGCGACATGAAATAGCCGAGAGCACAGCCTTGTGTTTGCTACATTAGATGTGCTTTTTAATTATTGCAGAGGTTTCAAAATCTGCGGCGGTTATTAAGTATTTACGCACGATGTATTTGAATCTGAGCTTTAAAATAATATGGGGGGGGAAAAGTGCTTGAGATAAAGAGAAATCATTAGAGCAGACAGAATAGCACGTGTGTACAAAGATGTTGGTAAATCATGACAGAGCACAGTAGACACAAAGCTATTTAAGGCTGCACTTTACCATCAAAGGTTCAGAAATAATTTATCAATGTTATTCAAGTGGAACAATGACCACGAAGGACGGATTAGTCCAAGAATCCTGTAATGGATTGGATGTGCTTGACTAGTCTCTCCACAGGAAATCCCTCAGGATGCAGGAGGCTTCATGTGGTCACATTGTCCTTCTTTTTAAACTGTACCACAAATACGTCCTCCGAGATGTGCGCAGGATGTGAGTTCAGAGGAGGAATTTTCTACATAAATCAGCGTCGAAACGGACACAAATCACCACTTGGTTTTGTCTCGTGTTGCTTAACGATATGCACGGGTCCTTACAATGTGCGGCCTGCTCTGATTTGAAGATCAGCTTGTTTTTTTAACTCTTCCTCTCTCTGTCTTTTGTCTGTGTTTTGTGGCGTGTAGAACCACAGCTGAAGGGCATAGTGACCAGGTTGTTCTGCAGGCAGGGCTTCTATCTCCAGATGGGCCAGGATGGAAGTCTGGACGGGATCAAAGATGACAGCACCAACTCCTGTTAGTAGACACGTTACACACCCACACTCACGCACACATGCACACACTGGAAGACATCATAAACAATCATGTGTATATAAGGAATAAAACATCTGGAGATATTCAGTCATAGTCAAAAGAAAGTGCACCCTCTTTCAAGTTTTATTCATAAGGACATAATGAAAAATCATCTGTTCCTCAGAAGGTCTTAAAACTATATAAATATCATATATAATTAGGGATGCAACGATACCAATTTTTTCAAACCGATACGATACCGATACTTGGATCTGAGTACTTGCCGATACAGAGTACAAAAACCGATACTTCTACCACACACAAATGCAATGAATTGGAAGACAGGTTTTATTTTATTCTCTGCTGATAAAAAATAAAATCTTAATAAAAATGACCACAAAAAATTTTCAAGTGAAAAATAAGCACTTCTGTTAAATTATTGCAGAGTCTCCACATTGTAATTTAAAAAAATATCACTGAACTATTGGCACTGTCTCGAGCTTTCAGAATAATAAATAAACACTTCTGTTTGGAATAAAATAAATACAAATTAGGTTTGAGAATAAAATAAACTTTTAAATTATTGCAGAGTGTCCATATTGTAAACAAACAAAGAAAATAACGAAAGTATTTGGCATTGACGAACAAACTCCCCATCTGCCCGTGGATCATCAGTCCACTGTGCCGTTAAACAAGGACTGACATCGCGCACACACTGCTTGTCTTTACCTCTT